GGCCATACAGTGCGTCGCTTCAAGGGGATGCCCTAACATTAACATAATTTCTTAAAAGATTCATGTCATTATTATTCGAGAAGTTTTATACTGGCTATCGACTACCTAACGCAACCCTCCACTTTTGTCATACAGGACTTGGGACCTAGACAATGGCAGTGTTACAATCTCGACACAACTATGATCTCAGCCCAGGCCCAACAACAATATGGATGGTGGGAGGGGAAAGAACCAAAGTCGTCCTAAGGGGGCGACTTTGGAGCCAAGCCAAATGACTAAGGAGCCCTTGCCGCCCCCTCCTTTTCCTCTAAGGAGTTTGAATTTGAAGTATTGGTGGACCCCACTCCTCTCCCTCTCTTTTTGCCACTGCCCCTTCTATAGTTAAACCGAACCGGTCCCTTAGGGGCCGGCTGTAATTGGACCGGTCCACTAAAGACCGGTCTAACAATGTATGACCTTAAAGACATTATTGAAGGGGACAACAATAGTGTGGTTAATTACATGAGACAAACTTTGAGAAGAGAGCCTTGGAAAAGTAAGCTACCGGACACTCCAAACGTCACTTTTCTTCACCAATTCCACTAGGTGATCCCGCCATATCTCAAGAAGATGCTACAAAGTTCTAGATTTTTGTGCTTACTTAACCTTAGAGTGTAATTTTGTTGGGAAAAATACCGAAAAGCCAGCCTTCCTTCTATTTTTTTTCTGAAGGAAGATAGTAACAAAATTGTACACACATGGCTGTGTTTCTTGCTTCTTTTGTTTTAGAAATGCAATATGCACTTATCAAGGATAATACCCTACAACATGAATATTTTTTGTCGAGTGCCTTGGTGTATGTTTTTCGGAAGACTATATAATTCAAATTGATGAAATATCCATTGAAATAAGTGAGAAATTATAATATCAAAGAAAATATTTAGATGATAGAGATTTTGGAGTTCCTAGGATAAATATATGAAATTTTATTTGTGTGATATTATTTTGAATCGCCCCGAGAACCTTCCCCATACTCATGCCTTGGATTTTGTTAATTTGGGCCTATAACTTTCTTCTTTTCATTTGCCGCCTCATACATTTGCAAGGCCTTTGTTGACTTCTTACGGATCTAAGGAAGCAACCTGACTATAAATTAAATCTTATGTTTGTCCATATATTGTAATTATTTGTATTTAATTCTAGTTCAGTTTGTTGCCCTTGGTTTTATATATTTCTTTTTAGAAGCTTTATTGTGATTGTATAAATTTTGGACACATTTTGGAATAAAATTCACTCAGCAATTCTCTAATTCATGTTATGAGATCTAGAAAAATTTTCCCAAAGTGTCTTCCCTTTATGTAATATCCAAAGTCTCAAATCAGATAAAAACATTTTATTTAGTGAGTTGTTAATTTTTTTATAATTTGATTATTATTAAGTAATTATTATTATTTCTATTAATAAATATAAATTAATTACTGAATTCTTGAATGGATGCTTCCATTGGAGTGGATAAGGAGTGAGAGTAGTTAGAATGGGGCCCACTCTTTTATCCATATATTGTAATCAATTTGTGGAGAATGCCGCTGCTTCTGTTAAGGGAAGGAGGAGAAGTCCTGCAGCAAGAGGCGGAGAAGTGAAGGGCGGGCTTAGCGACTAAAGAAGGCTGCGGGATTGGGGGATATCGCAGAACCCACACGGGACAGTGGAAGAAGCCGCAAAGAAGCCACAAAAAAGTTCACTTCTGCTATTATTGTGTCGAATTCTTCTCAGCACAAATCACTGCAGTAACATTTTTGTTGGGTGTTTCAAATCAATGCAGTAACATTTTTGTTACAGGTATTATCAAATTAGTAAAATGAATATTAGTGAACGTTGTAAGCAAGACTTAGAGTCTTAGATGTGATTAACATGGAATTTTGAAATGAATTGTAGTTTGATTCAAAGTTGAGAATATAGTGAATAAGGCTTCAGAGTGGAAATTTAAAAGAAGAAAAAAGTAAGAAGTATATTGAGTATCGTCATATTTATGTTACCTAAAATTAATAAAGTTTCTAAAAGATGATAACCTATTCATATTGTAGGATTATTCGTATATTTATGCAAAAAGAATGTTTTGAGTTTGTGTATCAAAGGAAAATGCTTCGTGATGTAGGTTTTGAAGAGACAACTCATGAGGAAGGTAAGTTATGTAATTATTTATAATTGTAATGAGTATGAATGGTTAGTCTATCCTTTATATTTTGAAATTTTATTATAATGAGATGTATTATGAGAATTTTGTTAGTCATCATGAGAATACATTGGGGTATTCACAACTGTCTATTCATGAGAATAAGAGAGATTTGATAGATGTTTAAATGTGCTTATTTAAGCATTTCCTTAATTGATAATTTTATGCAAAGAAGTTTTCTTTTTAACTTAGTAGCTATCAAATTCTTAATACACTAGATGTATGATTATAAACATACTTGAAGGCTGTAACCATTAAAATTAGATATGAACTATGAAGGTATAATGTAAGGAATATCAAGTTAAAATTAAAGATTTGCTATTCTATGATATGATGCTGCAATATCAGGTGGACAAAAGGGACCTAATTATTAAACTTGTATTGTAGGTGGGTCAAAAGGACCCCAAAAGAAAAGATACTTACGTAGCAGGTGGGGCAAAAGGGACCCCTAATGAGCCAAAATGGACCTTAATGTAATTTAATGGTGATAATGTCAGGTTTTCCTGGGCTCCATTGAATATTGTTATAAATGTATAGCCAAGTCTTTTATATATTTAATTTGATATTCAATATAACTTCAAAGAGGTAAAAAAATATGGGTGTCAATTTTGGTCGACGCGTTGGGTTCGGGTCGAACCCGAGTTGACCCGGATCTAAACGGGTCAACCCGAACCTGACCCATTTTTGCAAACGGGTTGGACATTTCAACCCGGACCCGACCCAAGCGGGTTGCCGGGTTGACCCGACCCGACCCGGTTTAGCAGATTGCAGAGAAGCGAGCTCGCGACGGCGTAAGTGCGGGTTGTGTCCGCGGCACCGCGGGTGCAGACGGAGTCTGCTGGACCGCGTGACGGAGTGAGTGCGGGGCGTGGGCTGACCAACCGAGTCTACTTTCTGGTTGCGGGCTGACCGCGTGACGGCGCGAATGCGGGGCGTTGGCTGACCGCGCGACTTGCCGAGCGTGATAACGAACGTACTAGTTGAGTCCGCACTTGAGTGCGGGACCGCGGGAGGCCACGAGCGCTGCAGCGGGCGAATGCGGGTGGAAACTGGGATGGACTCGACTTTCAGGTTTCCGGGTCAACCCGAACCTGACCCATTTTTTGAAACGGGTCAAAAATCTGAGCCTGAACCCGACCCGTTTGCTAACCGGGTCAACCTGAACCCGAATTTTTCTGAGTCGAGTCCGGGTCGGGTTTCGGATCGTGTCAAAAATTGACACCCCTAGTAAAAGTAATGCTAATTAAGATTTATGTTGTTATCAATAAAATTGAGTTTAATGATTTATGACTTCAAGATTTTGATTTATTCCTTTTATATTATAACTCTGATTTAGATTACATAATTTGTTGGGCTTCATAGCTCACTAGTTACTTCTTACTGCTGTTTTTACCGTAAAAGAGCAAGGAAAAGTGGAGTAAGTTTGATATGCAAGTATTTACGTTTTATGTTAATGTTTATTTAAAATTTGAAATTTTCTATGGGGTGTTATACTTTTTCTCAATTTCCATTGGGACTGAGGGATGCAATTCGAATCAAATGGAGGAGTTATAAAACATCTATTTAATATAATAGTTAAATAGAAAGGACTATCTATAATAGTAACAATTCGTTCACATGTTCTTGAAGGAAAGAGAAAATTTGGGTTATATAAGGTAGCAACAGACTTGAGTAAGGAGAATGAACATTTAATGTTTGGGAGGAACAATGCTCTATGGTAATGCCTTGGCTTTCTAACCCTAATTTTACGATATAAGTGATGTACACATGTTCTTATATTAGTGTTTGTGTATATCATTATTTAAAATTGCGCAATATGAGGTTCGCCTTGAGACTCGCCTCAGCGCAATTCCAGAGAAAAATGCGTCAAGGCGCAAGCCTTGACGCATTTTTTATGAGGCTTACGCCTCATCGTAGCTCATGCCTGCCTTGAGGAGCACCTCTCCTCGCTGGCATGAGGCGTACACCTCAGTCTATTTATGTATTTTTTTATTAAAAACTTGCCTAAATCCTATTCAAAAGCTCCACAAAAATCATGCATATTTGCACCCCTAAGACGCAACAACTTCCTCTCAACTGCGTCGACCTCCAACCCTCCTCCTTTGTTGTAGCCACCATCGTCGTAGCCACTACAGAGGATCACTTGAAAGCCACATGCCACCATCATCTCTTCTAAAGATTTTGAACTATTACTCTTATTTTTATGTTGATGAAAAATATTTATGAAAGATGAAGATAATTGTAATAAATGAAGAAACAGATTGAGTGGTTTTGAACCCTACAGGATGAGGCAAAAAAGAGATCAATTTGTTATCAAAATGACTCAAATAAAAATCACCTTAGGAATAATAGAACAAATGATTTATGAGTTGTCAATTGTTTTAAGGAATTAAACGTAGATGAGTAACAGCGTTTAATCATGATCCTGATTGCTTTAGCTTATCCCTTTTACTCATATTTCTTGACATTAGGTGTAGATCGCTTGGTAGGATATTTTTCTGTTTTTCTGATGTGGCCTTGCCAAATGATTTTTTGAAATTTTCATCTTGAATTTTATCCTGCCTATAATTTCAGTATTTGTATTCTATATGAAGTCAATTGAACTTTGCTTGGCTGTCTTCAAATAATTTAGTCATCGCTGAAAGGTTTTGATATATCTATTCATACTTGTCTCCTCATTTTGAGGTAGTAATATTTATTCAATAACCAGTGATAGAAAGCAACTGAAATTAATTGTCCTCTAAGGTAGTGAAAAGTTTATTTGATGAATCATAGTTTGTTTCTACAGGTACCAAACCAAGTTTGTTCACCTTCAGTGATTCTTTCTCCACGAGTGTCTGAGAAATCAAAAGAATTTCCTATTAAGAGCTGGAATCAAGTGTCCAGTTCTTTTCCAGGACAGTGGCGTCACCCATCAAACATATGGAGTTCGTCCAGTATTCAGTCTGATTTGCACCAGCGACTGTCATATGAGTTTGACAGGCCATCTAATTCTGAGAAATTGATGGCTGGAGCACGCTCAGCTGTCTCTGCACAGGAGAAGAAGCCTGACGACCTGCCAGGAAGAATTGGATTAGGTGGTCTAAACCATGTTCCTCGGGATAGATATGGTAATGAAAGTGCTAGTTTTATATTTAGATGCAATGTTTGTTTACTGATGGATTGCAACATTCTTGAAATCTGTAGGTGAGAACTGTCCAACTTCTACGAGAAGAGGGATGATGTCCGATGCTTGTTCTGCTAGTTCATCTGGTGTTAACTTTGAGACGCATCAAAATTTATCTGGAAAACCGTCATCCTCTATAATACCAAAAGGGGAGTCAACATCTTTGTTACTTGGTCTGACGGCTCCTCTCTCTTCTATGAATGGCACAAGTGATCCAATCAGGGTTACAACGAATCATGCACAGCTCCAATCAGTTCCTTCCCCATTGTCTAAACAATTTTATCCCAACCCTCTGAACAGTTCTCACTCTGGAGAATCACAAGCTCAAACTCGCAATGGACGAGGCCGGTTTGATCCAAGGGCGCGCTCACATTTACTTCCTCGATATTGGCCTAGGATCACAGATCAAGAACTACAACAAATATCTGGAGAGTATCCAGTGCATTTTATCACCATGAAAATCATTGAATTTGATTTGTGCTATTTGAGTTACATCTCCTAACCATGATGTTATGGCTGTCCGTTTCTTTTAATTTGACTCAGTATTTCTTAACTTTATAAGCTCAAATTCCGTTGTCACGCCTCTTTTTGAAAAAATGCTTAGTGCAAGTGATGCGGGTCGTATTGGACGGTTAGTGCTGCCAAAAAAATGTGCCGAGGTTCGTTCTAAAGTATTGTCAGTCTTTTATATCATCATATTTCAAAATATTATCAACTGAATTCTGAAGGTTTCATTGCTGCTTTTGTTTATGTTTTGTGATTTTGTTATATCTGTATGGGCCGGTAATTACGTTCAGTTGGCAATCTAAATACTTCACAATATTCTTTGCATGTTACTTAATCTTTGATTCCTAATGTGTTGATTTTCCAATGTTTTATCTGATACGACCATGCTAAAATTTATATGAAAAATGCCTGAAAGAAATCCCTAACTGGTATGTGCACCCCCTCCACAGATTCAATCCTATATAAAACGGAATTATGAAGCAGCTTTTGCATGTTTCTGACAATGGTGGCATCCTCATTTCATGCAACACAATGCAGACATGTCAAAACATTTCCAAATGAAACCTTGATAGTTGATATCATGCAAGTATTTTTGGTCATTCTTATTTGTAAAATCACCTTACAATTGTTTTTTTTTTTGCTAGCTAAAAATTAGTGTTGAAACATTGGATCATTTTTTGCATATTACTGCTGAATAATTCTAAATTAGGCTGGGAAGGACGTTACAGAAGAAATTATACAATTCATCAAATTTTTTAGAAATCATCCATCAAAACGATATATATATATATATATGTACACAAAGCAACTAATATTTATATAATGAACATCAAACTTTATTTCATTACCTCAAGTCAATGCTCATCTTACGACCACTATACAACTAAACAACAAAAACAGCAAGTCTTTATCCCACTACATGGGATCAACAACATGAATCCTTTTTCTCCATTGTCATGTTATGAGTCAAATTTTTATTTAAATCTAATAAAGAAATGTCATTTTTAATATTTTCTAACCAAGTCTTTTTAGATTTACCTCTTCCTTTCTTAATTTAAGCCAAATCTAATACATCTACTCTCCTAATTGGGTCATTGAAATGCCTCCATTTTATGTGACCAAACCATCTAAGGAGACTCTCTCCAATCTTATCTGCCACTGGAGCTACTCCAACATTTTCACGTATATGCTCGTTTCATATCATGTCTCTAAAGAGTAAAGCCACTCATCCACTTGAGTAGCCTCTTCTTTGCAACACTTTACTTAATATTATGTTTCTCTTTTAATGACAAACATTGTTTGCCATAAAGCATTGTAGGTCTCACCATCATCTTATAGAATTTCCCCTTAAGTTTGAGGGGTACTTTTATATCACACAACAATCCCTATGCATTCCTCCACTTTAACAATCCAATTTGAATTCTACTAATAATATCCCAATCTATTTCACCATCACTTTGAACAATAGACCCAAGATAACTAAAACATGTAATTTTATTAATGACTTGATTGCCCAACATCACAATCCCTCCACTGGATCTATTACTATTAAAAGTACATTCAATGAATTCAATTTTAGATCTACTCAAACGAAAACCTTCAGACTTTATGGTTGACCTCCACAATTCAAACCTTCAACTCCTTCTCTAGTCTTATCAACAAGAATAATATCATTAGCAAAAAGTGTACACGTGGGTACATCTTTTGCAAGTGTCTAGTCAGAACATCCATGACTAAAGCAAAAAGACATGGGCTTAAGGCTGATTCTTGATGTAAGCCAACTGAAATAGGAAAATACTTGGTCAAACCATCTTGTGTTTGAACACAAGTAATAGCTCTTGCATACATATCCCTAATGACTTTAATTAAGCATTATTAACCCCTTTCTTTTCTAAAACTTTCCATAACACTTCTCTTGAAACTTTATCATATGCTTTTTCTAAATCAATAAATTTCATATGTAGATTCTCCTTACACTCTCTATACTTCTTCATAAAATCTCTCAATAAATGTATAATTTCCATAGTAGACTTACCCGACATGAATCCAAATTGATTTTCAAAAACATTAGTATCACGTCGTAACCTATGCTCCATAACTCTCTCCCTTAGTTTTAAAGTATGATACATTAACTTAATTCTTCTATAATTCGTGCAATCTTGTGCATTACGTTTATTCTTAAAAATAGGAATCAACACACTCATTCTCCACTCATCTGACATCTTTTTAGTCTACAAAATAATATTGAAAAGTTTCATAAGCCAAGAAATTTCTTCATCTCCTAAGCATTTCCATACCTCTATTGGAATATCATCAGGTTCAATAGTTTTTCTACACTTTTTTTTTTTGTAAAATCTTTTTAACTTCGATTTTACTAATTCATTGATGAAAACAAAAATATATATTTTCATTTAGGGTGCTATGGTCGCTAAAGTCAATTGTATTCTCATAATCTTCATTGAAAAACTTAGCAAAAATATCTCATCCACCTATGTTGATTATCCTATTCTAATAAAAATACTTTTTGATCTTCATCCTTAATGCACTTGAACTAAATCCTTACTGCTATCTATTTGTTTGGTTAACTTATACATATATCTTTCGCCATCTTTAATATTTAATCTATTATATTAATCATCAAACGCTAAAATTTTAGCATCACATATTACTTTTTTAGACTTCTTAAACCTCTTTATATCTTTTTAAATTTTTAGAATTTTTACATTTAAAACATTTTTTTAAACAAAGCTTCTTATTAGGTACTAAAGAATTTGTTATGTCTAGAAATTGAAATATAAAACTTAACATGAAATATAAATTGAATCTATTTTACTCAACCTATATCTTATCCTTACCCTTTGTTTAAATAAAAATAATTAAAAAAGGAAAAAAAAGAGGCAGTCACTTCCCTTCACGAAAGAACACATCTCTTTGGCGAGTTGTTCATTAAAAAAGATTTGGAAAATAAAATGTACTTTAATTGCTCTATCTTGCTTGCATTATTTAAATGATCCCACTCCTTGCCTTCAATTGTTCGTGCAAGCCACCTTCTTATCCTCTCTAACTGTGTTGCACCTCATACGGGACCGAATCCCGACTCCAGCGCTTCTACACGATCCCGCTGAACATCGACCCACCTCCGATCACACCAATACACGTGGACCCAATGTATGACCCCTGTATCTGTTCGACACTACCCACATGAAGCTCACGCCGGCCGCCTTGCTCCCGAGCCCACGTGAATCCCACTCCGAACACTTCCGGTCTGTTCACACACTCGCCTTCAACACACGCGAGCAACAACCTTAGGCTTTTATCCCTTCCCGGGTTCCACTAGCCTATCGCCTTCCTCACGCGAACTACTCCCAATCCTTGTTTCCAACACTCTGCTTGCCCAATTTCTTTCGCCTCAGTCAATCGGCCAGAAAACTAGAACCCCCCACCTGTGTCCGTCTGACATCAACCTTGCCCGACTATGCATGATTGTACGACCTCTTGCACATTTGTCTTCAATCAAGGTTGCCTGATCTAAAAACTATAAATCTGTGAGTACTTGTCAATCCTATAATCCGCCTCAAAAAGTTAAAAAACTCATTCAAAGCAAATTAACATACCCAACTAAATCTGATATAGTTCATAACAGCAGTTTGAACTATTTATCTTTGCCTTGTGCATGTATGACCAGGCCAATCGATCCTCTCAACCAAAATAATTAAAATTAGGTTCATATAATTAAATAAAATTATTTAAATAAAGTAGCAAGTATTCTAATTTAAAGACCCACGTTATTGATCTTTGATATGGGTGTGATGAATTTCAAATAGAAGACCATCACTGTTAATCTTTGATCCAGGCGGTAGAATTGTCAAATTGAAGGTCCTATGTAGTCGATCTTTGCTCAAGGCAGGAGGATTTTCAATTCGAAGACCCCGCGCCGTCGTATCTTTGATTCGGGTCGGTAGAAACTACGGCAAGTGTCGTCTCTACCTCCCCTCGCGAGGAGTAAATATCAAGAGGCTGCTGAAATCATTTTTGGAAAACTATCGAATTCCCTTTGGAGCCATTGGAGAGTAATTTCGAGATGTTTTAATTTAATTAATTCAATTAGTTCATTTTTGAAAAGTAATTAATCCATTAAAAAAATTAAAATTACTAACAAATTAATTAATTTAAAATATATTTATAATTTAATCATGAACTAATTAATTTTAAAATAAACTTAAGATCACTTCATTTAACCAATTATTTAATTACTTAATAAATTCAAATTAAAATTAAATAATTAATTTAAGTAAAATAAAATTAACATTCATTTCATTAATTAGCCAATTCAAGAATAATATTAAAAGAGTAATTAAACTGAGCAATTTAATAATGGTGAAAAATAAATTTAAAAGTTTAATTTTTATTATTCATTAATTAACCAATTTAAAATTCATTTAATTCATTAATTAAATAATTTAAAATTCATTTAAATAAATAATTAATCAAATTAAAATTCATTTAACTAATTAATCACTAATAAAAATTAAATAAAATGTAGTAAAAGAAGAAGAAAAAATGTGTTTTCCTCTAATCAACCATCAACCCTAATACAACTCACACCAACTAAACACCTGAACTCTTGAAACTAAATACTAATTAAACTCACAAAATAACTCAAAATTCTTTAATACTGCAAGCTCTCCAATACTCCTTGGCAAGCTCCAAAATAACACGAACTCCTGCAAATAAACAAGTAGACAAAAAATTAGTATTGTCAATAAAATTTAAGTGCAAGAAAAAAAAAAGAAAAGTCATGAAAACTAAATTATAGTACATGAAAAGAAAAGCAGTGTACTATAAACTAAACTATAGTATAAGGAAAAAAAAAAGTAGTGTATTGTTAAACTAAATTGTAGTGCAAGAAAAAGAACCAGTAATGCTAGACTTAAGCTAAAAAACACTGCAAAAGTAGGAAAAAAAACAACTATAAACCAAAGTACCGGCAGTCCAATCTACCCTAAACAAAATAAACATGCTACTTCCAAAGGGAAGCAGTAAGTCCTACAAACAAGCGGGCGACTTCTAAGTGAAGCAGTAAGACCTACACGTTAGGAAAACTTTTAAGTGAAGTATAATAACCCTAAAATCTAAACAAAAGTTACAACTT